GCTTCCTCAAAATGGATAAAATGCTGTGCTGATGTAGAAAATGGTGATCAGAAGTGATTACAAAGCATGCTGCAAGCACAAACATAATGATTGTTTTAAAAGAGGAAAATGTTATCAGCACTAGACAATGCCAGCATCTCCTTTTTTTTTGGTTTCTATAAAGCCACCTGGGGATGAAGTTTTCCATTGCTCCCTTCCTTGATTGGGTTGGGATATGGTTCACATGCTTCCATGACCAGCTGCCAAGTACACGGGTTTTATGTTAGGCACCTATTTCTGGGAAGAGTTGGGTGGACGGCCAGGAAGAGAAAGTAGAAAAAAAGGTTTTCAGTTGCAAACTCAAGAAATTATCTCTGAACTTCGATTTAATAGTTAACCAGTAATTAAATTGTTAAAACGAAAAACAGTCTTCTCTCCAAATCCCCAAAGACCTGCTAAGGAGTAAATTGGAGCTCTTAGAATGACACACGAATCGGCAGAGGGCAGCTCCGGACAGGTACCGGTCGGGAAAGCTGCCTGCGGAAACTCCTGCTTACTTGGATGTTGAGGTGCTTCTAGCACTCCCGCCTCAATGAGGTTTAAGGAGAAAGTCATGTGTTAGCTCAAAAAATCTGATGATGTTCTCACTTGGTTCCAAGAATTCTGATAGGGGCTGGAGCTTCAGAGGTGAGTAAGCTAGAGAAAGTTCCTCCTCCCATGGAACTTGCATTCTAATGAAATAAAGGAAGATCATCAACTGGTAAACAAGTCAACAAACACAATAATCTCACAGCATGATGGGTACTTGAAAAACATTAATGAAGGTCATAAAATGTTAGCACTGTTAGCAATGGACTGAGAGTAACGGCTGCTTCTCTGTCTTCCATTCCATTCTCAGGAACGAAAGATACATTTTTTGAAGGGAAAATGTGATTATGCATCGTCACTGGATTTTGGCATTTCATTACTGATCCTTTAAATATTATCTTTTTTCCTCCACTAAACTGCACATGTCATCAAAGTGGAGACAGGGCTGCTTTTTGCACATAGTGGGAGCTCAGTAAATATTTGTTGGTTGGATGGACAGATGGATGGATGGATGGATGAATTGAGAGGTTCTACTTGGCAATGGTGGAGAGGACAGCTGTGATTGATACTGAAGATAGGTGCAAACCAACTGGTGCCTATCAAGGTAGCACCCCCCTAGAGAAGTGACATGAAGCAGAACATAGGTTGCCTGTGGAGTTAGGAAACCGACTCTTGGTTTGGCTCATAATTGGCTCCGAATATGTCAACTTCACAGCCCTTTCTGCTCCAACCCAGGCACGGAAGTGTGGAAAGGTAAACCTCAGAGCAGCAATTTGGCAGTATTAAGTCTAGAGGGATTTTCACTGTTAGACCATCGGGAAGAACAGTCCATTCAATGACTTAAGCCCGCAATTTAGTATCCCGAGAATGCCGGAGAGACTGGAGGGTCAAGAGGAGACGCACCTAGCCCTCAGGGGTTCTTCAACACTTGGACTCCGGTGTTTATGAAGGTATTCTGAGTTCTTCCTTTATTTGCGGAATTCGCATAATCACCAAGTAATGAGCTCTACTGTTGGTACTCCCAATTCTGTTTATGCCCCTTGCCTTTGCTTCAACATCATCTCCACGTCTGTCCTAAAATGGTTGTGATTTCCGTTTAAGCCAGCTGTAGTCTTGAGGCTAAAAGCTTTTCGGAACAATCAAAGATCTGAAAGTCAAACTGGCTTCATCAAAAGGAAAGTGAATTTCTTAAGAGAAGAGAGATTCAACTTGAGGCTGGACATGTCAAGGGTGCTAAAGATCAAACACTGGCATATAATTGAAAAAAAAAGTTTGTATGAACTGCTGTCCAAACCTGACGTTTTGTGAGCCTGTGACATAAAACATTCATTTGCTGGGCTGTCAAAGAAGACTTTATCCTACTGTGCATCCATAGACAAGTACTTGGAATTGGGATCCGGGGCTTTTTCTAGTCCTTGGTTTTCTCATCTGTGAAAAGGGGTTGATAATTTCTATCTCCCAGAATTGTTGTGAGGCTTCCAAGGGGTAATACTTAGGAATTAACCAGGTTCCTAGTCAGCACTCAATAAATCTTGGTTACATTTGAATCTGAACTCTTTCAGTACAGGGGCACTGGAAGTTTAGCATTTCTCAGTAATACAAGCTACCCTGAGCCAAGGCAAAAATCAGTAGGACTCCAGCTTTCCCACTCCCTGATTATGGAAGCAGTGAAAAATGTGTTGATTTTATCCCTTCGGTGAGCTGTACACCCACCTAGCAAGACCAGGCCGAAACATATGGTCCCAATTTCTTGTCTCAAGGGAAACACCAGTGTTCTTAGAGAAGCTAATTTTTACCAGTCTCTATAAAAAGTAATTTCCCCTCCATGGAAAGTGGATTGGCCTGAACAGGCTCTGTTAACTGTTCTCAGGGCAGCTGCCAAGCCTAGCAGAGGACATCTGCCTGCGCTGGTTCTTCTATCCACGCTCACCTCCAGCCTCTATCCTCTGTCTATGAGACCTCACCTGTCTGTCCCTCTAGGAAGCCTTGTCTTGATTGCTCTAATTGGGTTTAAGTCCCTTTAGCATACGCTACCACTGTGTCATAAATATACATCTTTGTAATAGTGTTAAGTGAGGGTCTGTGAAGGTTTGGGTACTATTTCTCCCACTTAACTATAAGCCCCGTCTGTGTTGGCTCCCTATACCCCAGCATCTAGCAGAAAGGCAGAACACAAATCCACAGAAATACTTGCAGAAAGGAGAAAGAATGCTTGTGAGGCTGTTGGCTGAGAAGAAAACTGAAAGCGGAAGAGACCGACCGTTGCATGGATAGGCAGGCATCTCACTGCACCGGGCAAAGGGAGGGTGTGGAGGAATACGACTAGAGGGATTCAGGACAGTGTTCAGGGAGAAAGCTGCTTTGCAAACCATCTTTAAAATTCAGGGCTGCCTAAAAAGTTACAGTGGGAGCCCAGGGAAAACAGCCAGCAACTGTAGCAGCCTCTGCAAACACAATAATCTGCTGTGCTCCGATCCTGATTTTTCTTTTCCATACATTTTCAAGAAAGGTTAGAAGATAAACTTTATGGTGAAAGATTATAAGCAGGGTTCTGGTTACGCTTTTTAAACTAGGGGGATTTAGGGAAAGGAGACAGTACTATCTCTCTGGGACCAAGTGATTCTCTGGGGATGGATAGAGCCAAAAACCTCTCACTTGCTGGGCAATACTGTCCTGTGTGGACGTTCAAAAGCATATCCTTTAAGTTATCAAAAGAGAACCATCTCTTAGGTGCTGTCTGTTAGGGTAGGAGGTGAGCATGCCAAGGTCATCTCCTGCTGGGAAGGGAAGAAGGAAGCTGGCTGGGGCCTTTCTGCTGAGCCTGTTAGATAACAGCACAGTGAATACAGACAGGTTTCCCTCAAGTGCCAGCCTCAGAGCAAGAGCAAGGGTGGCAGAGAGGTGTCTGCTAAGTAGAAAAGTCACGTCAGCAGGGGCTTCTTCCCTGGCTAATCCTGCTCCTCGCTGGCAGGCCACTTCCCAGGCAGTTTCCAAACAAAAAACAGAATGCATTTCATTTCTCATTTCTTTCTTTCTTTCTTTTTTTTTTTTTGACTTGTGCATTCCCAATTTTTACATTTTTCAGAATGTAAAAATGTCAGAAATTCAGAATTTTTACATTCTGAAAAAGCAACATTTTGTTGTAAATGAGTAACTTCTAAGCCATTAGGCATTGACGAAGAGCAGAGAAGGTAGCTAAGGTGCGGGGAGAGAGAGGGGAAATCTGTGCTCCAGGACTGGGTCTGCCCACTGCGTTGTTATGTGACTGTGCTACATGTGTCTCTATGTCTCCATGTTCTTACTTGGAAAGAGGGATAATCTGCATACAAGATGACTTACAAGGAGGCTCCTTGGAAAAAAAGAAAAAAGGAAACGATGTAAGAAAAAAAAAAAAAGTTTGTTAAATATGCTCAACTGGATAATTCTTCATAAAATGAGAATACAGGGACTTCCAGTGTGCAGTTGAGTTTACATGAAGTCTGCAGTCACTTGTTAGAGTAATGCTTTTACAGGCTTGCTTCGCCAGGCGGAGAAGCGGCTCTACTGTCTAAGAGATGTGGGAAGTAAACAGCTTTATCAGAGTGGCCTTGATCCAGTCACTTTTCCTCTCTGAGTCATAGTTCCCACATTAGTGAAAGGGAGGCTGCTGAGATGGATGTGTGTCGCAAGATGAAGATAAGATGGTCCACATGCCAGGTGCAGTCAGTAACTCACGCCTGTAATCCCAGCACTTTGGGAGACTGAGGTGGGTGGATCACCTGAGGTTCAAGACCAGCCTGGCCAACATGGTGAAACCTCATCTCTACCAAAAATGCAAAAATTAGCCAGGCATGGTGACAGGTGCCCATAATCCCAACTACTTGGGAGGCTGAGGCAGGAGAATTGCTTGAACCTGGGAAGCAGAGGTGGCAGTAAGCTGAGATCATGCCACTGCACTCCAGCCTGGGCAAAAAGAAAAACACTCTGTCTCAAAAATAAATAAATAAAGATGTTCCCCAAAGATATAAGTCTTTTCTACTCATTCCTGGGTTTTTGAGGAAGATCCACTTAAGACTCAAGTGTGAAATACAGTGATGAGGCAGGATGGGCCTAGGGTGATAAACACGCTCATTCTGAGAATTGGTAGTTATGCATAGGACTGCATGTGGCTGGCATAGCCCTGGCGACATGGGTTCTACTGAGACCTATCCCCAGATGGGGGCCACAACTACATGGGCAATTGTACAGCGGGGCAACCACACCAGGAAGTGGGGAGAACCAGGAGCTCCAAAGCTACACAGACAAGTTCCAGTTCTGCTTCTGCCTCCCCTGCTCAGTGCCTCTGTTTCCCCAGGGGTACACCAAGCTCTAACTAGGATGAAGGATGGCAAGTGCTTAACACAGTATCTGCTACAGATATAATTAATAATAATATCATTATTAATCCGACGTACCTGGGGCTGTAACTATCTCAGTTCTCTTCTCCCGAGCAATTTCCATTTTCTAAAGTGAGGTCCTGCTTTGCAGCAAGAGAACTATGCTAAATGCTCCGGCGTCAACGTACGTGTGTGTGTGTGTGTGTGTGTGTGTGTGTAGCTAGGGGGTTCAAGTGTGTTGCAGGTGGTCCAATGTTTGCGTGTATGTGTAAGGGCTGGGGGCTCCAGCGTTGGAGGTAGCTCAGAGTGTGTGTGTGTGTGTGTGTGTGTGTGTTCAGGGGCTGCGGGGCTCAGCTGTTAGAGGTGGCCCAGAGGCCGGTTAGAGGCTGGGAGGGAGGCAGCGGGTGCTCTCACGAGAGTTCGCCAAATCGATAAAGTTATTAAAACACATAATACGCATTTACACCACGGAGAAAAAACAAACCCCCGCGTGTCCCACCCTGTCCCTCCAGGCTGCGCAACGCCGGAGGGCGATGGGAGCGAGAGACAGGTGAGAAGAGCCTAACACGTGAACCTTCCACCCGCCCGAGCTTCGGGGCGCCGCGACCCAGCCCTGCCCCGCCTTTGAAAAAAAACTGAAGAGAAAAAGCAGCGAAGAGAGACGCGGAGGCCGAGGCGTTCCGAGCTCCAGCCGCGGCCCAGAAGGGGAGGAGCCCAGACGCCCCTCACGCGCCATTGGTCCACCCGCCTAGCAACAGCCGTGGCCGGACCAATGGGAGCCGCGGGCCCCGCTCCAGAAACTTGGCTGCCGGTTCACTGTCCCAGCCAGGAAAACAAACCAGAGGACTCTTCACACCCCAGCGCTAACTTTTCTTTTTTACCCTCCCCCTTTCCCTTTGCAACTTGTCACCATTCCCAGCTGATGCATGCTTTAGTTCCCAAATTGTGACGCGGAAGGAGGGCATTTTCCGAAGGTCATCCCTTCCCACCCAAGGGGGAAGTCTCATCAGAGGCAAAAGAACCAGACAGATTGAAAACGATTTGTCAGATTTTCGCCAACTCTCTCGGGCCCCAATTACAATAGCTTCACTTTTTATATATAGTGTTGTTGTTTGAACGGATCTGCAAGATCTGTGCCCCAAAAGAAGGGCAATTTGGAACACTTACTATGTACCGGGCTTTGACCCCGACTTTTGTTTTCTATGCCTTACTGCATTTAATCCTGAAATTAATTGTAATTCAGAGAGTGGGTTGCCCTGTCTCCATTTGGATGGGAAGTCGGGGTTCAAAATGGTGAGTGGAAGTGTCCGAGAAGTTCTGTTAGTACGCGGTTCGACAGGATTCAAACCCAAGCCAGTCCGATTCCCAAGACACTCGGTTTTCATGACGCCAGGTACCTCTGCATGCACTTTTCAGAACCGACCATGAAGAAATTATCTGACCTACCTTTTTTGAATGTAGGTCCTGCCCCATACTGGAGAAGAAGAAATTGTACATTAGAGAAACCAAGAAGAATTCGAAAAGGCAGGCGGTGCTGGGTTTTCTGCCTCAGTCTCTTGCTATTAGATCAGATTCTTCCTTGTCTAATCCTATTTCTACCTGGCTATCCATGCTTCGTCAAACGTAAGCATAAAAATAGATAATTTACCCTGAGTCTTTGGGTCTTCATTTTGAGAGCTCCCATGTCACATAAAACCATGATTAAATTGATTTGTTACAGCTTTTCTCCTGTTAATTTGTGGTCAATTCATTCAGCAGACTCAGAGCCTTTATGAGCAAAGTTTGAACTTCTCTAAAGAAATGGTGCATATTGCAAAAATCTATTCCAGACTCTGTTATCCTCAAACCTCTCTGGCTTTGTGGGTGTGTGACCGGCCCACTTGCACAGACCCTGTACTGAGAAGGTCTTACACTGGGTTTACTGCTCTGCTGTTGCCGTTTTGAAATTCTTAATACATTTTAAAGAAGAGACCCCCGTGTTTTCATTTCGCACTGGGCTTGCAAGTTATGTAGCTGCCCCTATGAATGCAGCTTATTTAAATGTCCCAGAGGAATCTTACCTTGAGAATGTAGACCTCAAGGAAAGGAGGAAGGTTGTAAGCTGGCTGCCCCACCCATCTCACACACACACTTCGACTTCTGCACACACCCTGCAGATAGTCAGTTTTATGACACTATAACTGTAATTTGAATCCCCAGTCTATTAAATGGGAGTGTATATATTTATGGCTGTGTTTATGTGTGTGTGCATGCACACGTGCGTGTGAGAACTGTGAGAGAATCCAGGTTTGGAGAATTTACAACACACAGATACAGCCCCGATTATTGACTGTCCTTTCCCTTTAGAGACATTACAGGGGATTTGGACAGGCCCTGCTTTTATGAAATACATACTTAGGAGGTTTTGAGTGCCTGTAAACACTGGACTATGAGTGAGGTTGGTATGATACTGGCTGTCCCCGGAGGGGACAAGTCCTGAATACACTTCCACTGGGCCTGGCAGAAAAGCCACATATTCTTGCATCTGTGTTACCCTGAAATCCCAATCTTCTTTTCTAGCACAGATAGGCCTAATTTTTATTCTCTGGATTGTGCCCATCTTATTCTCTGAGTTAATAGATGAAATGATCAGGAAATCACCAATGGCATGAAAATCTGAAATACTTAAGAAAGCCCGAATGTTTCCTGACACTTATTTTACCAAAAAAGAGAATCTTACACTGTGGTGGTTGTAAGGGACTCTGAGATGGCTTTGAAACTATCTCCAAATTTTGGAGCATTTTCTTTGGTGTTGAAGGAGAAGTAGGCTAAGTCACTACAGGTTACACAGCTAGGTGGTAGTGATACATAGGTTAGAATCCACTTTGCCTGACTTCTGACCCAGATCTCTTTCTTGCTTTTATTTCTGTATTAACAGAATAATACCATAAAACATTACATTATCAGTTCCTGTGAAGAGAGGTTATTGACTTAATAAATAACCACGTGGGGTCACAAGGGAAGGTTACCAGTATGTATTAGTGCTTGCTGTTTGTGCCTGTTTTGTAACATCTCATTTAATAGAATCTGCTGGATAATATGGAGAGAATGTAGGCAGTATTATTTCCATTAAACAGATGAGGAAAGGGAGGCACAAACTCATGAAATAACTTGCACACTGTCCTTCAACTTGTTAATGGATTCGCCAAGATGTAAAATCAGTTGTTACTTATTCCTAAATAACAACATTAAACCATTCAAATTACCATGGTGCCATGGTAGCTCATTTTAATGACAGTATAGATTAAAGAAATGAGTCTCGTCTTGCCAAACAGAAGTTGACTACTACGGTCATCTTTAACGTAACTTTGGGTCATTAACTGCTCTTGATTCAGTTTTGTCTCAAGTTTTTTGGGGCTTCATGGTGATGACGTGTTACTTCCCTTTGAAATCGCAGACCAACTTAAAGTTTATTTGATGTCGACTAAAAACCTCAGTCTAGCCAAAATTTAAGTCTAATTTGCTTGGTCTTTCAGGAAAAAAAAAAAATTATTAGCAAACGACTTCCTTGATTAAACCGTTTGGTTCTAGGTGAAACTGGCAAATATTACCTGGGGTTTGTTGTACAATCTGAGGTCTCAAAGCAGATCTGCTGATTCACCATCTCTACGATAGTCGTCACACTGGGCTGCACACGGGAATCATCTGGGGAGTTTTAAAACTCCTGATGTCTGAATCCCACACCCTGAATTTCTAATGGAGTTGGTCTGAAAGACAGCTTGGTCATCAGGAGTTTTAAAAGCTCCCCAGTTGAATCTAATGTTCAACTGAAGTTGCAATCCATAGGAGGAATTTGAGAAGCTGTGTGTTTACTAAGCATACCAGGTGATGGTCTCATCGGAGGAGTTTGGAAACACTCCTCCAGCTTACACGCTCTGTACCAAACAGGAGCAAGCACTCTGACAAGTTATTTAAGAAAAGTTTGTGGAGAGAAGCCAGAGCCAGCCTAGATATCGCTTATAACCAGGCTCACCTGTCATAATTTGTGCATTTTTCTAGGAAATAGAGTTTTGAGTGATGAGTTAAAGAGAGAAAGAACGAACTAGCCGGAACCATGAAACCACTCAGCATTCATTCTATCATACGCTCATGCAGTCACCCCCTTACCCTTCCAGTCTATATTTATTGGTCATCTATTATATACTATGAATCACTTAGTGAAGGGCTAGGAACCCAGTGATGAATATAGACACCTGGGATCTTGTAATATTTAAAATGCTTTCGGCTGGCTTACATGACTGAGGAAAGTCTTGACTGAGTTAAAACAAACAGGATAGTATATTTGCATCCTGGCCCTTTTCATCATACTTATTCTTTCTCAGAGAAAGCTCACATATAATGGCAGCAAAATCCATTGAAATCCTGATTTAGAAACACTTAGCAATCCTTGTCAACAATGAGTACCATGCTATTTTTAGTGACTCATCAGAATTCAAACAAACAAACAAACGAGCAAAATCTCTTTACAATGGCGCAATCTTAGAAAGGAAAATTATAGCTTACTGACCAAGTTTTAGGGACGGAACTCTAACCATCAAGCCATTGGCTGTAAAAGTACATGGATTCCAGCCACCCCTGGGCAAGGAGAAGCTCAAAGCCTGTCTGTTGGTGCTTTTATACTGGTCAAAGCACTTTTCCGAATCAAGTCCACATTTGCCAGATAATTCCTGAGTTCCTGGTTTTTCTTCAGAGGCAAGTGATTTAATTTTCTCCATTGCCAGCCTCCAAATGAGCCCATTAGCAATGTTATAAGCTGCCAAACTGTGTTTTTTTTTCCCAAGAAAAGAGTAGCTAGATTCTGGTTACACAACGTAAAAGGAGAGCAGGAAAGGGAGCACTGGTTACCCCAGTGCCTTCAGGTGTCTTATAAGACTTGGATCTCTGTCAAACTCTCACTGTCCTTGGATCCCCATTTTTAAGTTAGGAAATTTAATCTTGGAGGGTTTTAATTTCGAGGTTTGGAAGAAGCGGAGGGCAGGAAATATGTAACCTAAGTGATAATTTTTATTTGCATTTATAAGCGACTGCTGGGCAAGGTTTTTAAATTCTAGTGACTTAGTACAGGGGAAGTAGAACCAGGCAAAACTAAACCTTTTATAACTCCAATAGAGCCGCTTCCACCCACCCCTGCTGTCTTGAACAGCTTAGGACAGGGCATGTGTTCTGTTCCAGGTAGAGTCTTGCATTTTCTTGTATGTAAATGTATTACACGGACAGATCTACCTGCTCTGCATCTTGGAATGATAAGCAGGTATGAACGAGTCTGGTGGCCCCAGGACACAGCAAGGTGTGGATAGCTACATGACACTGAATGTCCTCAGCAAACTGGGGTGTTTTTCCAATTCCCTGTGATGTAGAGCCCATGTACTGTTTAGGGGTGTCCAATTCAGCAAGCATCATCCCAGTGCCCGAAAAGATGTTCTTTTTCTAGGAAAAAGCTGAAAAACTCATTCGGATTGAGAAGGAGACAGATTGAGAGGGAGGGTCTGTTGGAGGTGGCATTTCATAGAGCCTGTGCATGATTTAGTGTTGTCCAATTTAGCAAGCATTGTCCCAGTGCCCCACAAGATGTTCTGTGTCTAGGAAAGAGCTGAGAAACTCATCATTCAGATTGAGAAGACAGATAGGAAGGATTTGTTAGAGGTAGTTTTTTTAATGCCCACTTGACTGAGT